GAATGAAGTATCATGTATAGAATACAACCTTAAATTGAATTTCTATATAGATGGCAAAGAGCTCCATTAAAAAACGCTCGGAGTAGTAACTATTGTAATTGTTATGAATAAGTATATAATTTTAATAGTCTTACAGCAATACATAATAAAGAATATTCAATTAAGATCTACTTTTTACAGTATAAGCTATTATACAACTAAACAAGTATTTGTTCTTACTTAAAAAAAAATTATGTTATTTAACAATTGTGAGTGGAGAAAAAAAATTAAAACCATCATCCAATAGTGGAAGGTTAGATTAAAATATGGAGCTTGCAAGAGTAGAGCCCCACTAATATACGTATATACATACATGTTTGCTACCTGAGGTGTTGATTCCTGTAATACAAATTTTAAAATTTTTCGTTGACAATTTACTTGAGAATTGAGTTGTACATACTATTTTGCTAGACTCTATCTCTCATTTTTGGTTTACCCTTCATAAAATGCTCATAAAGTGGAGAATCCAGGGCCCTTTACCAAAATAAGCGATGTTTTACAAAATAGAATCTTCTTCCTAGGAAGAACGGGAGCTGTGGTTATTACACTTATGTTTGTCTATAATTAGCAAAAACTGTTAAACAAATTTTCGATTTTCATGCACATCACTTATTTACGTAAGGGCCCACGTTACGAGATTTCATCGTGACGCACAGTGCTGGATCTTATGTATCTGTCAAACAGCAATGTTTCGTAATGCTGCTCATAATAATTGATGATCATCTCATCTTACTAATACATAAATAAAAATCCAAAAAAGCGTTGTAATCGCTAACCACGAAAACTATTTAATTGATTGTGATAAAATTTTGCTTCCTGATTCTTTTGGTCTTGAAAAAAACTAATAGTTATAGCAATAAATAAGCTCAAAGCTTTGTAATAAGAACGCTACTGCCTTGTGCTTTAGTTAAGTAGGATCTGCTAGGTAGCATCGATGTAAAATTGAAGCCACCAGCAGTGAAATTTAGCGAGTTGAGTTGTAATTATCCTGAACAGAAAGTGGATTATTATTCACTTCGTGCAGCAATTTGAGATAACGCCACCTTCAGGGGAAACTATATTGATGCTAACTAACAAGAATACACATCATCAGATAGACAATGCTAGATTACGAGTGTTTATTTTAGTAATAATGATAATTTTTTTAATTTCATGAAAAAAAAGTAAATTTCTTGTATGAGTTGGGTATAAGGCGTGAGTAAGCATAATAAATATTACTTTTAAATGCGTTGATTTAAAAGTACTTCACGAAATAAATTAATGTTCAAGAAAAATCGCCATACTTACTAACAAAATACAATAATGAAAGAAAAAAACAATTTTTTTTATTGAGGTACTATTAAATAGGTAGTTTTCGGCATGAAAGTATACTTAACACCCAAAAAAATGAAGTAGGTTGTTATATATATATATATGTTACTGTTAAAATAAACCATTGTAATAGGTCATTGTCCATCAGATTCTCTGTATTCTTGTTAGATAGCATCGACAATTTTTTCCCTGCAGGTGGCGTTCTTTCAAATGGCTGCCCAAAGCGAACAGTCGTTTACTGGCAGTACGTCGAGAACAGAGTTTTTAGACGTGTATCAAGGGGCTGCGTTCACAGTGAGAAAATTTTCTGGCAGCCGAGAATACTGGTACCCTTGAACTCCGAACGACCCTAGCGCCATTTAGCATGATTTCGTGTTTCAAGAAAATCCCTAGGACTCTAGGTTAGCTGAGTATATCCAGGATCAGTGATTATTTGCAGCCTCAAATATCCTTGACTAGCATCGGATCCTATCGTGTAAGCTGTTGCATCGGTATACCTTAGCTTTGCCCGGCGAACCACTGTTGAGTAGACAAAGCACATTGTTAAACTTTCTAGACAATTTAGGATTTTTACTAGCTCGTCAAGGAATACAGCACATACGATATCGATCACCTCTTGGACTCCACACATTCAACCAAGCAGAGCATGCCAACGTAGCTCGTGTAAGCCCCGAATATGGCACGGATATAACACGAAAGTCTTGGGCGATGACTTACTTAACTTGCGTACGCACTTGTAAGCGACCCAATTCCTAGTTAGCATAGTATAATCTAACGAAATTAAACCTATGACTAAGCCACCGTAGCTTCCTTGAATTTTAATCGTATAATTATGCATATTGAATTGAATAGTTTTGTATTGGCTTTGAAAATTACATCATGTGTGTTTTGGTGCCATCTAACGTGCCCCTGTTTATTATAGGCTATGCGTACCAAGACTACCTATCACGTCTTATCGTCTTGATCTATGACCACTGATTCCAGCCCCACCTAGCTATATTTGGTATTTATGTACTTATCAGAAATTTTTGAATGGCATCTATTATGCCCCATGCGTGGCCCCGCGTATCAGACGTACCTCAGCATAACCGAAAATATTCTCCAGCTATTCAGCACGTGTGCAATGTTCGAGGGAGTACCAACTGATTAATTTTTTTTACATGCAACCGTCTTCACGTTAGACAAGCCCTAGTGCTACCTGACATGTCCGTGCGTCTTTGGCATATCACAGCATCACCTAAAATTGTCCCCACACGTCCGTGAGCCTTTACTGTGCTCAAGTTGCAACCTTGTTTGTCCCTCGCAGGGATGCGAGTGTTAGGCATAACCTAGTGACAGTGTCTTCCACCGTAAGACCTTACGTGCTCTGGCACTAGCCAGACAACTATTGGGTGTCTCTTACACCCCTGCGAATGCGAAAAACCCTAAATTGTCTAGAAAGTTTAACAATGTGCTTTGTCTATTCAACAGTGATTCGCCGGGCAAAGCTAAGGTATACCGATGCAACAGCTTTCACGATAGGATCCGATGCTAGTCAAGGATATTTGAGGCTGCAAATAATCACTGATCCTGGATATACTCAGCTAACCTAGAGTCCTAGGGATTTTCTTGAAACACGAAATCATGCTAAATGGCGCTAGGGTCATTCGGAGTTCAAGGGTACCAGTATTCTCGGCTGCCAAAAAATTTTCTCACCGTGAACGCAGCCAAAGAGAACATCCTTGAGGAGTGCAGGCAGTCACATCTGCTGAAATATTATCAGCCTCTGACAGGAAGTATCACCATTGGCCTTTTTTAGAGCCATCACAAATTTCTACGTTTATTAAACCACCATCAATCGCATAGGTTCTTTTAAATCTTACATTAAATTATCTTGCCAACAAATAACTTTTTCTACCCAGGGTACACCCACCCTCAAAAACGCTTAAGGTGGAATAAATTATTCACAGATACTTCACAACAAAGCAGAACCATATTCAACCAACAAAAATGTATTACTCATAATAACTGTTATAAAATCTTACTTATATCATGTAATAGATGGTAATATTATAATGGTCTCAGATATGGACTTTCCAGATTATTTGTATTAGTTATTATTGGTTATTACTAAGAATTAGCTTTTAAGACTTACCCTAGCTTTTGATGCAGATTGGAGATTGATGCTCATTTAGAAATCTAATGTAACTTTTATTGATACAAATGTACTCAACATTTACTTTGCTGCATTTCTTGTAATTTTTCTCACTCATTGTTTCATTTATTTTTTATTGTGTTTGTTCTGTTACTACTTTACAATTATATTTATTTAAATAGAAAACAATAATTCTTGCTTATGATAAAAAAATTTTTATTTTTTTGAAAGTTGTTTTGTCTTTTTCTAATATCTTTGTCGAAGCAGCTAGAGTCAGTCTGCCTGTAGCACGTAAAGGTAAAGCAACTTATTGTACTCATTTGACAGATTTTTTATCTGTAAGGAGTCTTGACGCTCATTACCTATAGAATATAAAGCTGTACTTTAACATTCATAAAAGTAGTCTCTGAGAAAACAATTTGACTAATTCCTTATAATGATTGCAGTCAGTGCTCTTTTATTAATACTGATACTTGAGTGCATGAAAAGTAACTACCTACTGTCCTAATCTACATCATTGAACAGGAAATTTAGTTAAATATGTGACATTCAACAGGCTGAATTGCACCTGTTAGCAAGGTACCGAATGATTGAAATCAGACCCTATTAGTGTTATGATGACGAAATTATGAACTTACTCCCATTTTTTTTTTTTATGTACCTAAATTATTAATTTTTTCATCATAATACTAATTGACATATTTTTTTTTGTCATTATAGTAGATGTTTACTTAAGATAAAGTATTATGGATCACTACTAAACTAATTAGTAGTGTCGATTCATAAGGTTTTTGGATACGCACATCAAATTCATCATATCCTTCATATTAATCCGAAAAATGATTCTTAAGTTGGAAAAGGTTAATTTAGTGATTTTTGTGCCCAGATAAATATATCTTAAACATTCATTTTATTAATTATGTTTAACGAACTGATCTCTTCTCTTTGTTTTCTTACAACATTACTTTTTCGTCAAGTATTGGTAAGTTGAATAGAAGCGCATTTTTGTGTAGTTAAGGGGGATGACTTTTTGGGTTTATTCAGTACAAATTTTTTTAAGTAATGAAATAAAAGTTGCATAGACTGAGTGCACATATTATGATCTACTAAATCACTTACTAAGAGAGACGGTAAAATAATTGTAAGAGGATTTGTCTCTTTGTAAGTAATGCGGCACTTTTTCTGTGTTTCTCTGTGTGTGATTTAGCAGCTCCCGAAATATGCCCAGTCTGTACTATGCAACATCTTCGAATATAATGAATTCCTCTCCTTTTTTCACCCCTTCGCAAACAACCACTGAACCTCCGTAACAGCAATACTTAGATTTTAAAAAAAATGTCCTTACCATCTTCAGGTGCAAATCCAAATCAAAATTTGTTTGGAGATTTGACGAATAATCTTATTTAAAACACAACAAACATTGAGGAGAGATTTACAGTTGATACTATTTGATCTATGAAGTAGATAAACTAAGTAATAATTTTATTCATTTAATTTTTTTTTTTTTTTTTTACAGTATACTGCAGAACATAACTGGCTTGGACATACGAGTTAGGAAGCTTGAACCACATTCAGAAGAACATAAGATCAAAATGACATCGTAAGTCTTATTCATATTAAAATATTAATTTTAGGTCCTAAAAAAATTTACTTTTTATCAAATACATATAATGAGATTTGACTGAAAATACGTTTTTTCAGAAGTGACATGTATCTATATGCCTTGGATACAAATAAAAATATCATGGTTGATATGGATACCTTACAAAGGTAGGTTATTTAAGAACATTTTACTATACTCCATATGCTAGACAAATGTAAATTATGTATATAAGTTGTATTAAAAAAATTTTCGATTTTTTGATAAATTGCTGTCTAATATTTTGATTTTGATTGAGTTATCAAAAACTTATTCAATAAAAAGGTATTGAAGTGTAATATCTTATGAGATACGTCCTTTGATAGAGTCTTTTTTTTAAATATTATTTTGAATGATAAGGGTGAGATTACAATGGGAGCAGACTGCCAGACTCGCTCCCATTACAACCGACTAGAGTGAGAGAGAGGTCTGATCACGTGATTGAGAGAGTGTAGTGGTCACGTAATCAGACCTCTCTCTTTCACTCTAGTCTACTGTAATGGGAGCGAGTCTGCCAGTCTACAGATTGCCAGACTCCATGTAACCTCACCCTAATCTATCAATGGATGCGTTTAGTGCAAAAGTAATCAGCTCTGCTCACAAAACATTTTACTTGTAAGCAGTATCTTAAGACACGAAAAATCATAATTCATACACCTACATTTAGGCTCGAAAAAATTTATTTTACTATTTTAATAATTACTAAGAAAATTACCAAATTGCATTTTCAAAATTGTGAATATGTAAAAAAAAGTTCCAATTTTTGTATATTCTTAGTGACATTTATACAAACAATAAGAGCTGACTATTCACAAAATTTATATTCTAAAAGCATAACTTAGTAGTATCTATTAGTTGTCAAATACTATTCACTAACTAAACGGGTTATAGTAAATGATGTTGATTCTTGCAAATAAGACTATTTAATCGAAAGAAAAAAAATTTATCAACTTCTTCCACAAGTCTGAATCATTACTTATTATCCTAGATAACTTCTTACTACATGCAACCATATTCAGTCCTAAGTGTTGAAAACATTTTAAAAATAAAAATCTTTAGAGCATAAATATTTTAATACAAGTTTGAGTGATATTAATCACCTGTAGTTGCACCTTGCAATAAAAAAAAAACGATCTACTTAATATAAAAAAAAACATTAACTGTTGACTCTAACTTGTTTCTAATACGTTTTTGCTGATAAAAAAGTTATAATATTCTAAAATCATTAAAAATTAGATTTGGAGGTCATACCTACACACCGTAAAGAATTTTTTTGATTTTTTGACTCTCCTCCCCTTTATGGATTTTGATTTTAAAATATTTTTATTGAGTCGAAGTAAAGATTTTTCAAACGAGGTACACAACATAATTCGTAATAAATATTACGAAAAGTATGTATATCTCAACTTTTATTTAAAAATAAAATGAGATTAAACATCTTACAATAAAAATAAAGAGTGTTTTGTCACACATAATCTGCATTTCTAGACTTCCCGCCCTTTCTTAGCCTGAACATTCATACGATTTAATCAAAACCCCCCTTTCGTGAAATTGCCCTTGATATTTGGATACAATGCTGTTAACGATTTTTTTTTTTTTTAAATTAAATGTATCATTTTTACAGGATTTTTCGCAATAAAAAATCTGAAATAATGCAACAGCTAAAGCAGTACAGGCTATTAGATATAGATGACAAATCCCGAAGTAACACTCAACACTACTTCCTTTCAACACTTGAGATGTTTGTAGTTGGAATGGGCTGTGTCATTTTTATCGGTGCTCTTATAACTGCTTTGTGCATATCATGCATACGACGCAACAAACGGTAAGAGAAAATCAAATTTTTGCTTGTACTATGAAATTACTATCAAGATCCTATTTGTTACATCTCACTTTTTCTTGACCATCTTTATTTTGAAGTCATTAGTGTATATGTACGAGAATTCCAAAGAAGCTGACTTCAATCAATTTAATAGATTTTTTGGTAGGGAATTCGCAAATATAACAATATTCTGGCTGACACGCTTGCACCTCTAAAAAATTACTTACAGTTTTTACAACAAGTGGTTTAATCACACACTCACCTTTACACATTTTTTCACAAGCCAACGACATGTTCATGTCTGGACTATTATGTATTCAAGCAGAACCATCAAGTTGTCTGAAAACTTTTTTCATGATATTAACCAGTATGAAATAGAACTACTATTAAAACTAATAGCACATAGATTCCTCAACTTTTTTTTTGTAGTACTTTTTTTGTAAACTCAATCTACTTCATTTCTTGTACGACGACTGGAACAAAATCATATTTAGAAACAAACCTATCGTTAAAATAGAAATTTTCTTTTGTAGCACGGGAACAAATTTAGAAATAAAAAAAAGAAGCCAAGATTTGTTCAAAATAGTTAAAGGAATTTAGAGAAATGACTTATTTCACGTATACATGTACTTACACAGGCAGACACCTTAGATATAGGACTCTATTCCAATTTTACATTTTCTAATTGTACATACATTATATCTCTAGGGTAAAAAGTAAAAACTTGAGTGCCCGAAGAGCATGATTGTTGTACGTTTGTTACTGAGTCAAGTATATTATTTTTCTTACCAATGGCTCTTTAGATGCTTAATCTACCCGTCTATTGCAACAGTTTAGAAAATTTTTTTAAACGTATTATAGTCCCATAATATGGTATACATAGATCGATAGATACAAAAAATGATAGTGAAAAACTTAAGAAAACCAGAAAATCTATTTTTCATTATTTTGCCTTTTTATTGTATTGTATTTGCCTTTAATAATTCTTTGCAAAATTTTTTATCTACGATAAAAAAGTAGTCCTTTGTTCTATATTTTTCTAAAGAAAAATAATCAAAATAAGATGGTAGAATACCAAGTGTTAAAAATAGGTTAGAAAAATAAAATTATTATGTTATTTAGCTACTGTTATGGAGCAAACACCTTTGACACGGACGCATCACCTGGTTTTACCCTGGTTGAGCCAGGACAATCAAAAAATACACTTCAAAAACACTTGCTCTTCCCCTCATTTGTTGGTGGAAATCATAGCTATGATCCAGCTGCCTCACTCTCTGGAAAAATTCACCAGCGTGGCTTTAGTGAGCATGAACCTCATTGCGTTCGTTTTCACAGGTATTTATAATTTTTCCATCAGTTTTGATACCTTCTAAATAAACGTATTAGTTTCTTAGCCAGAAAAACTCTAGCTACTTCATCTTAAAAATATTATCGCGTTAGATAAATAAATTTTAAATTGAAAATCAGACATGAAATTTTTAAGATTATTGTTACTACCACAGATAATTTTCAGCTAGGCTGATGATCAACATATTAAAAGGGATTTTTAACAAAATACTTACGTACTTAGAAAACAAAAATAGTTATTTACTTTACAAGGGCGGAAAAGACGATTTCCCGCACGAGTAGTGATTGACTCACACGAGTGGCCAGCGTTGACGGGAACGAGTACCAGTTGAGCACACGAGTGCGTAGCACGAGTGTGATCGCAAGGTACGAGTTACCGTCACCGGCCACGAGCGCGAGTCTATCACACGAGTGCGGGAAATCGTCCCACACGAGTTGCGTACAAGTTTTTTCGCAATGGGTGAGGAAAATAGGTACAAAATAGGTATGAATTTTGATTACCAGTGTGTAGCAAAATTTTTTCCGGTGTGTGGCAAAACCTGTTCCGCACACCTCTTCCGCACACTGTGCGGCAAAAACCTTTACCACACAACTTTTCCGCACACTATCTCGGAAAATCGATTTTCCACACCAATACCAGTGCGGAAAACACCCATTTTTCGCACACTATTGCGAAATAGTAGTTTTCCTACGAGTTTGGAAAGTCTTCGTTTGCGAACCGAGACGTTTGCGGCCTGAGCCGAAGGCGAAGTCCGTAACGAGGTTCGTGAAGGAGACTTTTCGAACAAGTATCGGAAAACTGCTTTTTTGCCCGAGGAAGTACCAGCCTCCCAAAACCACCCGAGGGCGTAAAACGTCTTTAATTAATTTTTGAATGTGTAAGATTATAATTAACACTTTCCAAGGATGGTAGAAAGCGCTCTTTATAACCTTGTAGTAGAGAGGGTGTAAAGAGGAGTGTGGCCGAAGATTCCCTTTTCGGGACCGCATGAGTGATAAAAGCGATCGAGAAATAAACACACATCCACACGCATACATGTACACGTCACTGCTTGGATTGTAATTTTCCCAGATAGTCAAGAAAATGGTGTAACCAATCAGTGACTTGTGGACAATTCAGCGACGCCCTCTCTACTACATCGTGGTGTAACAAAAAAATGCATCTACTTATATCATGTGAATTTTACTTATTAATTCAATTCGTTCAACAATTAATTGCGGCTATTATGCTACTCAATCTTTTATTAGTGTCAAAGTAGGTTAAATAAGATTCATTTAACCATTATTCGTGACCCTTATACGTTCACACGTGACAACAGTCATAGCAGAACGGACCAAACTTCGATCGTGCTTGTTATGACCTGGCTCACAGTCATAGACTAGAAAGGTGTAGATGGCGCTCTCCATCCTCTATTTTATTCCAGGTAGTGAGTCCGTTACTTAGTTAGGAACTAACATGCCAGGTCAATTGAATGCTGGGAAAGTATGTCCTTGGTTGCTCTAGTTCTCGATGATTCCAATGAGTAGAGTCCCAATAGCGTGAAGAGCGAGCTTGTCCCAGAAGGCAACGACCAGGTATCTTTAACACACTTAGGAATGAAATTACTCACTTGAACTACCGTGATCGACCTCGAAACAACTACAGATGAAATACTCGCCGTAGGTTTTTGGAGGAGGGCGCCAAAATAGAGCATCGCAAGCTCTGCCTGGAACAGAGTCTCTATTCCAACTAACTGCTGCTGAAAAATCCAACTTTTTTTATAGATTGTGAGTTGTGCCAAAAGTCACGTAGGCCACTTGTTTGTCCTGATTTGTTCTTGAATTTCTTTGAGCAAAGTTGTTGTTTTGGACGTCCTTCAAAGGTATGAGTGGCTGTAAACTCAAGGCCAAGCTTGTTTGTTCTCGGGGTGAATCATGCCATAAGTCACACAAGCCTCTTATGAACGTAAAAAGGTCTGTTATTTTTCATTTGGGATGAGTCATGCCATTAATCACGCAGGCCCTTTGTTTACGTAAAAATGTCTGTTATTCAGAAGGTCAACCTTATGTGCCTAAAACAACAGTAAATCGATTTCCGAATCCTTGGAAAGCTTTTGTATAGTTGGGAAAGCTTTTCCTGATTGTTATTAATGACATTTTAATCGTTATTGTTATAGTAATTAATATCATTATTATTTTAGGTATTATTGTAAATTAAATAGTTTAATTTTTCGTGCCAGGCCCAGAGAGCGCTAGTGTTGCCCATATCTACGGATATGATCGTTTTCTAACAGCCTTCTCCTACTAAAAAATGCGATCCCTTGGTTTGCGCTTTTTAAATTATCGCGCTTCAGTAGCCTTAATCATTCTCCCGCAGTCTGCAATCTGCAGGAGTTTAACGCCATCTACTGCCACAATAGTGTGGATTGCAGAAGGTTGGTCCTTCTACGTTACCATAGACCTAGTGTATATAGCGGACAATTGTAGTGTCGTCTTCTACCGAGGTGTCACTAAATGTTAATTCTGTATTTATTGATTGAATTTGTTTGTAAAAGCCACTTCTTTTCTTGTCTTTTTAATAATGTTTACAACTTATATATTGTAAAAATTTTGAGGAAAAGGAGAGGGGGGGAGGAGTAATCTTAAAAATTCTGCCTTTTTTGACGGTGATGGTGTCAAAACATTGGTGCCAATGATGATGAGGGCAATGGTCATGATTTTGTCTTACAATTTCAGCAATAGAGCCAGTTGTTTGAAATGAAGTATGTGGGTGATAATGAGGATGACGACGATGACGATGATAATATTGAGGGTGATGATAATGATTGATGACGATAAGGATAATAAAGAAAAAAGGGGGGTTATAATAATTGTGTTTGTTAGTACACTGACACCTTGTCTCAAAGGTGGTGGGTCTGCAAAGACAAGATAGAGTTCTGGTTGCTTGATGATGATCTTGATAGTAGGAATAATGATGCCTGATGGTAGAGCTCCGGGACTAGTATCACTTTATACTCAGTTTAACGGTGGTGATGGAAGGATATCGAGGGTAGTGCTGGTGCTGCCTACTACACTATCCAACGTTGTGTCCAAGAGGTTTCGAAGACCAGTATTGCTTCTTTCCACAATGATGATTAATGATGATGATAGGAATTGGGATTGAACACTAGGGTTAACATATTTATATATGTACGTTTTATTTTAATCCTATTTTGGGCTCTTTTTACACCTTTTGCTTCACTTTGACATTTATTCATTTACACTTATTGACTGGATTGACACCCAGTTAACATACCTACCCACGCAGGGTTTCGCCCACACTGGGGGCAGAACGGTAGCCGTAGCATAAAATATAGCCCCACGAAGTGTACGTATTAGAAAGCCTATTCATGCGGGACTTTCACCTGGCAGTTTAAGCACGATAAAGCACCATTGGGCCCCCCCTCCCAAAAAGGTAATCTCTACATGGTGAACCTGCAGGTCAGACCCCAAAGGACCCAACAAAGTTCGGCGGCCTGGCGCATCTGCAGGTATTGCTAGGGGTTTGAAGGCCACGGCTGCAATGTGCCAGATAAAAGTCCTTCACTAAGGGGGGCGTAATCCACCTGTACGTGAGTGACGTATGCGTGGGCCACAAGAACCAGTGGCGCCACAAACACAAATGCAGGAGGTGTCACAGGGGGTTCTGGAATTGGCGGGTTCTCCTGGGTGGGGGCAACAAATGCAGGGGGAGGAAATCTTGCTGGAGGACCCCTTCCTTCAACAGGTGGTCCTGGAATTGGTGGGCTCTCCTCCTGGGCAGAGGTAGGGTCTTCTTCTGAGTTTTCCCCTTTCAAATGCCCGTTCTGTAGGCCAACGGCCTTGCCAGCAAGTGGTGGAAATTCGGGAGGACGGCACATTCTAGGGAATTCATACTTTTCAGAAATATCTAGTGTAGGGTGTTAAAAGAAGAGAAATCCTTTCTTATCTGACAATTTGGTTTCCTGGTATTCGGCGTTCTATTTACTGGAATATTTCCTTTACAGGTAAGGCTCACTTTCCCTCCCTTCCACTCTTTCCGTTTTTATAAGAAAAAAAGGGGGGGTCGCCAAAATATAAATTCTATCTTCTTGAGTATAATCCTAACATTGTTGCAGCTAATCGATACTATCGTTCTCATTATTAATGTGGTTACTTAAATTTTCAGTGTCAAGTATCGATGTTCCTAATTAACTTTGTAAGAGTTGGTTCGTGATGTGTTTGTTTTACAGAAGGTCATATTAACTTGTTATTGATCGTTAAATTTAAGCTTGCTTATTAACATACTTATAGCTTTATTGGAGTTATTTTTATGTAGGATGATCTGAACATATATTTTGCAGAGGGAGAAAAAATAATTAAATAAATATATTTTCATCTGTAATTTGTAACTTAGTTAGTGCTTAGGGTAATGTTATTTATTCATTTATTATCATCCATATTTTTTTAAATGTATTTTATTTTCACACACACGCACACATACATATATTTTATTAATTTATTTTATATATCCATTATTCGTGACCCTTATACGT